AGTGGTTTTCGTTGTCTGAACATTAAAAAATTTAAGGATCGATAACTGTCCACTTGACAAACAAGGCTTTAAATATCCATCTTGCATAAAATCCATCTTTTGTAACTACTTGGACAATCAGGAAACAAAGGACATATGGCTGGAGACAGCTTGGATGTGACGTGGAATAAATATTTAAAAGTGAAAGAAACTCAGTTTTGTATGAATCGTTTAAAAAGTCAGATATGCCTGTTTTTTTAAGCACTAGGCCTGAACTAATCAGTGGTCTTTAATGGGGATCTTGTTGGCTCACGTTTCAGGCCTGGCTTTCTGCCGTGCCTATAAATGTCCAAGGGGAAACCCTGGTGTAGCTGTAAGGTTCTCAATAATTCAGACAATAAGAAATCGAAAGGACAGCAGCATGACGCCGTCCTTCATCCTGCACTCAGGTATATTTAATTCATGCTGGGACGACAATGAAGATGCACCTGAGCTGACGCCTCTCAGCTTCATGAGTCTTTGCAGGCAACACTGCTATTGTGTACTGGGATCCTGGTATAGCGCTACGTCTGTCAGCTTCAGAAGGTGCTTGGCTAGCGTGGAAGTTTGACAGCCTCCTCCGTGGCCTCCTGTTAAAATGAAGCTAAATATTGCAGTCTCAAATACGGCATGTTGGTTCATAATATAATAATTCCATCTTTTGTATTCTGTACTCTGAGGAATGATCACACCGTGAGTCTTACTTTGAAGTGTCCTGTGTGATTCAGTAAAGATCGTTGAGAGGCCGTGCTTCTGTCTGAGATATTCCCCTCGCCAGGAAGCATTTGTTCCATTTTGTGTTGGATGATTAAAACACTCGCGTCCTGTAAATCCTCAGCGTGTTCCTTGTCTTGGTGCTGACGTTGGCTGTGTCGTCTGCCTTTTAGTGCGCTTGTGATATATTTACAAGGGGATACTCTGGCTTGAGTTGCCGCTCTGGTTTCCGTAAAGCCTTGCAGAAGGTTCTAGATGACGGTGAAGGGCGCAATGGAAATGGTGCAAACCTGCCAGATCCTGGCATCAATCCATATTTCAGGAAATCAAGCCAAGAAATTGTTTTTTTAGAAAATCGTGACAATGGAAGATGCAGTGGTTTGGATTCCAGTACAATATCATGGGATTTCAGAAATATTCTTTTTGTTCGCAGTGCTTTGATTGGCCTTGGGAATGTTACCCGCCCCCCCTCGCCATCAGTCTGGCCAGGTTGTCATTTTTAAGCCAGTTCCTGTCTGGATGAAACATTAATCATACTGTTGTTTCCACGCTCCCCCCCCTTCCCAACAAAATACTTGATTAAAATATGTATGGCAAAGGAAAACAATACTTTTGATATTAACAATGCCTCTTTGTCCAGTACATCTGTTCCTCTGACTTCACATTTTTCCAATAAGTCAATCAGCCTGTATGATTACCAAAAATGCCTGTTTTAATTAACTAATAAACACACAAGCAAATCAGTATTTGTTTGGTTTCAATGAAGGTCTCATCCAATGCATGAAGCTCATTCATTTAAAAATCTGTGATCATCTTTTTATTGAGTCCACAATATTCTCGTTTAAGTATCCAGTTCTTTGAGCGAATTGTTTGTTTGGTTCCAGTTGCCTCTCAAATCAGATGCTCAGAATTCAGTTTGGTTGACTGACACCTAAATTTGGAGACTTGGCAAATGCTGTGTGTATGGTGACTAACCCTTCCAGGCTTAATTTTTGTTCATTTGAATTGCTGATTGAATAACAGATTCTGTGCTTACCATTTTGCCAGTTAAATTTGTTCTGTGGATGCTATTAATGTCACGCTGCGTACTGATTTTCAGTTTGTGCAGAGATGTTGAAGGCTTAAGTTTTTTTTATTATTATTATTTTTTTCTCTTTTACATCTGACAGCCATAATTAGGTCACCATAAAGGTGTATGTGAGTTTTGAAGGAGGTGGACTTCAATGAAACGCAACATAATTAGGTTAGGGCAGATTTGCGTAATTTCAGAAAAGGTTTACTGCCTTTGCTTGTGCAGTGTGAGATGAGACGGGGTCACCTATTTTCATTTTCTGTTTCATTGGTGTTGCAGTATTTAATTACCAAGTTTAAGAATCCTGAGTTTTCTACAGTGAGATATTTTTGGTAAAATTCTGCTCTGTGGCAATCTCACCTTCCATTAAAAATACTTTGTGTGTTGTCATCAGCACTAAAAAATCAGTTTTGCTAACTGTGCATTTTCCCTCTTTTTTTTTTTTTTTTTTTTTTTTGGGGCAGTTTTTTCCAAAAATTCTCAAACATCCATCTTGCATGACTTTGTGCCCATGCCACCTGCTACCTTGTCACCTCTGTGTCAGTGTGCGGTGACGACGCAGCAGTGGCCGGAGTGGGCGCTGCCATTTTGTCCCTGCTTGTGGATGTTCGGCAAGCTAATGACCAAGCATGTTAATGACATGACGTTAGTTCGAGTTCCAGACGGTTAGAGGATGACAGCGCCTCAGTAAACGACTAATTAAAGGTTTTAGTGACCAAGAAATGTTTTAGGAATCCCATGCGATTTATATTTAGATTCCCAGTACCCTGATGCCTCTGTTGTGCTGTTATTACCTTTCATTCGTTGTTCCGTCGCTGTGGACGCTTGCGCTATTTCTGGCATCGAGGTAAACGCCAGTGAAGGGCTTGGGAAGACTCGCGTTTCTGTGAAAGGGCTTCCTGTGTCTGAGGGAAACGAGCTGGGGGGGGGGGGGGGGGGGGCGGGATATGTAAGATCTGCATTGAGTTGAAGGTGGAAAAGGGCAGCGAGCGAGTGAGCTGAGCTGCCCGGCCCCCCGAAGGGCTTTGCTATCAGTAAACAGCAGTACTCTGTCTTGTCTGTCTGACTGCATTTTGGGAGGGTGACTGCTAATGATCAGTTTGTCCATTTGCAACCAGAAGGCGGCCAGCAGATCTGGCCAGACAGGCTCCTTTGGGTGTCAGTTGTTATGATTTATGATTGATTTTCTTTGTAGTGTTTTTGCAGGGCTGAGACATTCCTTGGGCATTTTGTATCAATCCCTAATAAGGGATGTCAGCTCCTCTGACCCACCCTGGGTATGACTCTGGCATCCTGTCTGCTGCCCAGTGCCCGCTTTCCCCTAACAAGGCCGCTGTACCATAACCATTGGCAAAGGGGTAAAACTAGCAGCTGATTAAACACACGGCAGCCCCACCCACCATAGTCATTAGCTTCAATACAGGTTGCCAGCAAGGGGCTTTTAAAATTTATTTTTGAATGATTGATCCCATAAGTATCAATATCTAATGTACCTATGAGTTTATCAGTCAATCTTTGATTTCTACCACCATTTGAAATGTTGACTTTATTCAGTTTGCAATGAAATATTTAATTATTTTTCTTAAATTTATATTGTAACACTGCTCAGCATTTCAGATCTAATAAATGAAATTGTTTTTATGTCTGCCAGTAAAATTCTGTTCCAGTCTATGGGTTTATTGGTGCTGGTCAGACGGGATTCTGGGACCTGGGATTGCGGGTTCTTCCGATGTAATATTTGTTTGTCTGATTTATTCATTTACTTCTTTGTCAGTGAAGGTTTGGGAATGGAATTACTGGTTCCGGCTGTAGCCCTATACATGCATGCTGGCATGAGAAAATAGTTTGTAAATGGGGTTTGTCACTGGGTCAGCACCCCCCGGCAGACCTGAGTGACACAGGCATATGCGTATGTTGAGACCCGCCGCTGTTCTCCCAGGTCCGAAGCCGCCCTGCCATTTACACAGGTGCCGGAAACTTCTGGCTTGTCTGAGGAAGCTTTGCCATCACCCATTCTGGTCAGCAGACGACCTACCCTGCAGGTCATATCTCTGATGGCGGTGTCATGGGCCCCCAGGCATCAGGGCTGGGGCCCGTATGCAGGAGGGTGTCAATCCCCCCTTCATGGCCCCGGGCTTCATGGCCCCCCTGGCGTCATGGGCCCCCTGGGCCCGTATACAGGTGTGTGTGTGTGTGTGTCAGTCCCCCCTTCATGGGCCCCCTGGCGTCATGGACCCCCGGGGCCCGTATACAGGTGTGTGTGTGTCAGTCCCCCTTCATGGGCCCCCAGGTGTCATGTGGCCCCCGGGGCCCGTATACAGGTGTGTGTGTGTCAATCCCACATAGCTGTGACATATTTCTGCATACTTTTTATTTAGGACTGAAGTTAGCAATTTAATTTTTTTTAATTAGAAATGTGCTGCTTTGGATTATGGCTGAGTGGTTTCTTCTGAGCATATTGTGATTTGAATTTTTAGATGTTTATAACTATGATTCAGATGTGGAGGAAGACTCCTACTAAAGGTACAGAAGTAATGCCTGTTTTACGCCGCGTGACCTAGTAACCCATCCTCCCGAGCTCTGTACTGTAAAATCCACCGTGTCCTACTGTGAACCACATTACCTAATGTCATTGCCACACATTTATATTGTTTTATTGTGTGTGTGTGTGTGTGTGTGTGTTGGTAGGTAGTACATTGAGAAGCATTAAGTTGGAAATCCAGGATTCCTGCCCCCCCCCCCATTTATGTTCAGACATGAACTAACCAGAAATGTTACCCTATAAAAAATTTGCAGACAGAATAAATTGCTCTCAGCTGTTCCGTTCCCTAGTCTCACTTGGGCTTCTGATTAGTGTCTCTTTATCAAAGCCTTATTTTACTCAGCTTGGTGGGTAGCCTGCTCTCCCTGCCTGCTCTCCCTGCCTGCTCTCCCTGCCTGCTCTCCCTGCCTGCTCTCTCCCTCTCTGCTCTCTCCCTCTCTGCTCTCTCCCTCTCTGCTCTCTCCCTCTCTGCTCTCTCCCTGCCTGCATTTCTGCCAAATGATTTCAGAAAGCCTGACCAGTTGGTCGGCAGGGATATTTAATCTGGTCCCTAGTGTGTCCTGATTCGCTGTTGTGCATTGGCCATTCCGGTGGGCTTATCGCATTGGGGGCTTTACTCGCGTCTGGGGGCTGATGGCATCCCTCTTGTTCTAGGTGCAATGGATGAGCTCCACAGCCTGGACCCCAGGAGGCAGGAGCTGCTGGAGGCGCGATTCATGGGGGGGGTCGGGGGCAGCACTGGGGGCAGCACTGGAAGCGCCAGCGGGGGCACAAAAGTGAGTGCATCAGTGTCGTTTGCTAGGTGGGAGAAACTCATGGCAGGTGAAGGTTACTGTGGCTGTTGGTTCTCAGTGGGTTTAAACAGCAAAGTAAACATTAGGAAGAGGGATCCAACCACCCTGAGTGTCTCATTACTAACACACACGGGTTTGGTCTCAAAGCGATTAACTTGAAAGCTCTGTAGTGTATTACATACATTAAGGTAAGATAGACAGTGATGCTGTCAGATGTATTTAATACATCAGTGGCCACATAATCAGTCTGCCGCATTTTCCCAATGAGCTTTCATTGAGAACTGTAGTATATCAAGTTTCTGATTCTTAATTTTTTTTCAACAGTGACTTATGTCACACAGGATTTAGGATTTCAGGATGGTTTTATTGCTTTCTATTCCCAAGTGGTGTAATTTTATTCTATGACAGTAACTGAAATTGCGTTCTTTTTTTTCCTTAAAAGTTATTTTTAATAAGGTGAAATAATGTTGGGTACTTACCATGCAGTGTTCACATGTGAATGTTTAATTTCAAAATCACGTCGTCTTCTTTTTTTTATAATTATTTTCAGGGCTTAACGAATAATGAATGTTCGAATCACAGTTTCGGAAGTCTTGGTTCCTCAAGTGACAAGGAATCAGAGGTAGGCTTGGCTGTGTGTGTGTGCTGTTAATGTCTGTCCCTTCTGTGTTTGCAGTGCTTTTTCATGGGCAAACAAATTATTGACAACACGGTCCCATTTGCGTATGTGTGGATACGGCCTGTGAAAGTTGGAGGGGCAAATGTTCAGTATATTTAGTTTTTATTTTTTCTTTATCAGTCTGTGTTGACTGTGTCTTGTACATGTCTTCATGTTGCTTTCTCATTACAGTAAAAATGTGAAATTAACAGACATGGGTATAACTACGTAGCACATGGTGTAGTGAATGAGGCTCGAGGGCATCTCCACCTCCCTGGCGACTGGACCAACCAATGAAATGTGGCTGACGGCCCCCAGAGTCCCGGCCGTTTGTCGCTACGATGCAGTGTGAATCAGCTCTGGGTGTGTGGATCTCAGTCAGCCAGCCTCTCCCTGCTAGTGAAGCGCTTGTGCGTGCACGTGTCGTGGACATGGATGCTCACCATCGCAGTCTCCACTGGTGCCCCCTTGCTCGGCGCTCCCGTCGCCATGGACGACGCTGTGTCCAAACTGCGCCGCGGAATGTCTGGGGACTCGGTCATGGAAACTGCGGCTTTTGACATATCTATTCATTATAGAATTGTGAGAATGTTTGTTTGTTTTTTTTTTTTTGTGAAAATTGATCAGCCAGAAGTTCATATTTAATTCCTCCTGGGTGCTGATGTGTTGCTTGTAATGAAGTAACAGGTGGCTTTAATGTGTTTGGCTGACCCAGTTTTCAATTAGACCGAACTAATTTTGGTGCACCGTGATCTAAAATGTGAAGGTCGTGGCGGTTCGTTCTGAGGGCCGTTTTTGCTCGGGAGGGGCGCTGTAGCCCCCCCCCCCCTGTGTGACATGTTAGGGCACCAAAATGGCGAAACACTCCGCCCAAAGAGTATCGCCGCAGGCTTCCCCCCCACGGGCAGTCCTGCATCCTCTGTCACCCCCCCCCATCCTCTGTCACCCCCCCATCCTCTATCCCCTCGTCTGTTTTGTGTGACCCGCTGTCACTTAGATGAAACCCACTGGGTTTTTTTATTGGGGCACCCTGCCCCCCACTCCTCTAGGGCTCTGACATGAAGCCAGGCAGTCCTCCTGCTTATTCAGTATGTATCTCCCTGCAGTCCCCCCCCAGGACGCGGGTCTCTCACACCAGCTGTCTCGCTTCCCGCCTTGGGGAAAGGTCTTTCCTTTTATGCCCCACTGAAAGGCTGTTTGACGGCTACATTTGCAGATGTGCAGATAATCCCTTATACTGGGGTTTCAAGGTGCCAGCGAGCTGTTACCCTTTCGGACTGACTTTGTAGACCCCCCCATCAGTCACTCATCTTTAGGGTAGGGGTATTGGGAGGTGGGGGCTGTAGGTTATGCTGCTGCTGGTCTCACTCGTCCTCACCCTCTTTACGCTGCAGTTTACAATGCATCTGGGGTGATCACATCACGAGTGGATTTCACTAAGCACCAAGACTCAATGCTTGCCGAGGTGGTCTGGGATACATTTGAGCACATATGTTTTGTAGTGTAAATGCTGATGCAGTACCTGTACATGGGACCATTTGGCCTTCTAGTGTAAGTGATGTAGGCAGTAACGATATCTGAACGCAAGCGGTCAGCTGGAGATGCATGATCGACATGGGTGTGAACAGCAGTGTGTTTCGGCTGTCCACTCGTGGTCTGGTCGCCAAAGACGCACTTTAAAACCAAGTGTAAGCAGGTTCACTGGATCTGGTTCCTCCAATCTCCGCCTGTCAGCCTGTCTTCCAGGTTGCTTATGCTCAGTCTGCAGCCTCTGACAGCCACTTAGAGACTAACATTCTGCTCCTCAGCCTCGCCATCATTCCCCTTCCACTTCCTTCCAATCTTTGGGGTGAAGGAAGGAGGCCAGAAAAAGTGTGTGTGTGTGTGTGTGTGTGTGTGTGAGACATACCTCCTGAATATTATCTGTGCAGTATATAATTAAAAAATATATATATTTGATTTTGATCACTTCCAAAATAGTGATCAAAAAAGTTAAACTAGCTTTCTGGTTTTGCCTTAATGACTGGCTGCTGTGATTTTCTTTTTCTCTCTTTTTTATTTATTTATTTATTTACTGGCTCCTATCCTTGTTTTAATTCCCCATCCTCTCTCTAAGCTCCTTCATCTTCCTTTCCTAATTCGTTACTACTTTGCTGTTTTTTTTCTCATCACGCTGCTTTCGAGGCTGTCGGTTTGACATTGACTCAGTGCAGGGATTTCGCGAGTCTTGGTGCGACTGCTTCAGGTGTTAAGCGTCTGAGGCATGTTGAGCATGACAAATGGGACAAAGCGTCGCAACGTTTCCAAAGCTCTCTGGGAATCTGCGCACTGAGTCAGCAGTGGGCAGCTTTTTTTGAAACGTTTTATTGACTAAAATGCACTTTGCCTGGAAGATTGGGGTGCGTTTCCCCCCTCCCTCATTACAGTGTTCGGCCTACCCCCTTGGCGTCAAAGCAATGACGGTCTCTGTTTTGTTTCAGCTTTGTCATTCTTTCCACTGTGAGCTTGAGGTCACCCAGTGTGTCTTTGTGAGCTGAAAATATGCATGATTGTTTTACAAAACTGGAAGAGCGGCCTGCAGTCGACTTTGGCTCAATGCAGCCGATATTAATAGAAAGATCTCCGGCCTGGAGAGCTGTTCTCTCTCACAAGCGGATTTTATTGCCCAAAGCTTCTCTTAGAGTAGTGCTATTGCCTGGGGGGGGGCTGGGGGTCATCCATATGTGGGCACCGTCATGGCGAATGGGAGCCGCTTCTGTCCAGGTGCCTCCTAATATGTTTGTTTTTTTTGGACCTTTTCTTCCAGACCCCGGAAAAAAAGCACTCTGAGTCCTCGAGGAGTAGAAAGAGGAAAGTGGAGAACCAGTCCGAGAGCAGCCAAGGTGGGGGCTGCCCCCGGGTGTGGCATCTCCTGGGAACATAGCAGCCGTGTCGGATGGACCTCCGCAGCTAAACTTCCCCTTTCTCCTCTTTTACAGGGAAGTCTGTTGTACGAGGACCCAAAATTAGCGATTTCTTCGATGTAAGTTTTTGCACGATGTTTTGCTAGAGCATTCAGTGACCTTATATTTACTTTGTAATTAACTTTTTTGCGTGTTGAGTGTAGAAATAGAATCGCCAAATACCTGACTTCTGAGGTTCTTCTGACCCTTGTTATGATGCTTGCTGTGATGTCACTTCCTGTTCCTCTACTTCATGCTGGTTTCTGCCTCTCAGTTCCAGGGGGGCAATGGCTCCAGTCCAGTCAGAGGTCTCCCTCCAGTCATCCGTTCTCCCCAGAATTCACATTCCCATTCCGCACCAGGCTCCATGGTGGGTTGGCTGGCTAGAGCCTAGAGATAATTAATGCCTAGAATGACTCCTTGCTGAGCAAATTTCCTGTTCTCATTTTAGATTAGGCAAAACAGTTCATCTCCTACTAGTCTGACTTTCGGGGACCATATGATGCACCCAAAACAACTGTCAATCAAATGTGTCCAGGTAGGACTTTCTTCATGCTTCCTGTATTTTTTTGCGCTGTTTAAGGTTCAGGCTAAATAGCATCTTTGTTTACTGGCTTCTCCCAGACTGATCTGACCGTACTGAAGCTGGCAGCCCTCGAAAGTAATAAGAACTTGGACCTTGAGAAGAAGGAGGGGAGGATAGACGATTTGCTTCGGGTGAGGGGCTCTTCTCATTGAGGATGAGGAGCACCTGGCGTGAAACTCTCCACCTTTCCTTCGCATTTCAGGCACCGTCAATCTGCTGTTGCGGATTAACTGAAAGCACTTAATGCTTCCTTGAGTGCAGTTACTTTATTTACTTTTTCTTTAAATTTTGAGATTTGAGGGAAAAGCTTATATAAATGTGTGTGTGCCACACACACACACAGGTTTGTAATTTATATCTTTGTATACCATTCATTTCTATGGGGGAAAACACTAATCACAGCATGATGACCTTAACCCCTACCCATCCCTAACCTTAACCATAAGTAACCAACCAAAATACAAGATTTTTTGGCATTTTAACTCTTTTGATTGCATTCACAGATTTTTTATAAAACTGAGGTTATCCAAATGGGGACCTCAAAAGATGTAGGGAAAGTAGGGAAATTTCAGGTTTTACTACACTTTGGGGACAATTTGGTCCTCAAATGTGATCTGTGCAAACCCACACACACACATACTACAAAAGCTTATGTGGAGGATGGCCGGAGCCCACGGTGAGTAGCACTGTTGCCACACACCTGCTGGCTTGTGGGTTTGGATCACACCTCCACACTCTGTGTGCAGTTTGCATGCTCTCCACATGTTGTGCTGGTTTCCTCTGGGTTTCGTCTAGATAACTTTATTCACAGGCACAATGTTCATAAACATTCCGAATGTAGAATGAAAATTAAATGAACGGAATAGACATTACTAACTAACCTATAAACAAACAAAATATGTAAGCCATAATGATTGATTCCATATAACTCCATGGTTGCATAGAAAGAAGAGCATCGATATTTTTTACAAAATTAGAACTAACACCTTTGGGATTTCTAAATGTCCCTAAATACACCATAATACTGTACCTTCATATCGTCCAAGCCTTCCTGGGATGGATTCAGTAATTTGGTATTTCTGATATATACCCGCACCTTTGAATGTTTCTTTGTGGTGAAAATGTCTTCTCTCTCCTCCTTCACAGGCAAACTGTGATCTCAGGAGACAAATAGATGAACAACAGAAATTACTTGAAAAGTACAAGGAACGCTTAAATAAATGTATAACCATGAGCAAGAAGATGCTTATTGAGAAGGTGGGTCTTCTCCCTTTTCATACACGCGTGCCTAAAAAAAGTCATAGCATACTTGTGCTTAATTATTTCTTCATATTATTCAGTCAACATGAAGAACTTTTTGCTAAATCCATGACTGTCATTTTGCTCTTTCAGTTATTGTTCTGCTTCCCACAAGTCTATATTACCCATAATTTAGCGATTAAATCCATTATGGAATTTGCAGCCAGGTGAGATGGGGGCCCTCTTGGCGCTTGTAGCCATTTTACTTTCCCTCCAGCCTTTGCATTACTTCTCTTAAGCTTCTCAATTAGTGCGATTCCTTATGGCATCGAACACAGTGGGTCGTCATTGTGTATATTTTTAAAAGTTCTTAGAAGCAGTGTGGTTAAGGATGGCTTTTTGCCGAGTGGGTGGGTCGGTAAAGGCGTTCCCTTGCGCCGTCCCCAGAGCACCCAAGAGAAGCTGGCGTGCCGAGAGAAGAGCATGCAGGACCGGCTGCGGCTGGGCCACTTCACCACGGTGCGGCACGGCGCCTCCTTCACGGAGCAGTGGACTGACGGCTTCGCCTTCCAGAACCTGGTCAAGTAAGAGCGCCTCCCGCAGGCTGCCCCTCGCATAGCCACGCCGATTTGCTGCTGGGCTGTGAGGTGCAGTTCCCAACATCACATGGTCCCGTTCACGCATTGCAAGTAAGGCTGCACTTATATTACACGCCGATTTATTATGGCGCATACGCAAAAAATCACCAGGGCTTTAAGCACATTTTCCCCAGACGCCGGCGTTTCTGTACTATACAGACGCTTACTTACTCCCACAGTCTCTTAAGCACCTAAAATACATACATAAAATATGAATAATATCATCTAATGATGTTGATTTCCATTGTATTTATTGATTTTTAAAGCCATTTTTTTCAGGTTTTCATTTGCCTGTGGCTATGTTGCTACCATTCTGATGATGCCATGTTTCTAATCTGCAGACAGCAGGAGTGGATTAACCAGCAGAGGGAAGAGATCGAGAGGCAGAGGAAGCTCTTAGCCAAGAGGAAGCCTCCAATGACCAGCAGCTCCCAAACGCTGACCACAAACTCTGAGCCAAAGCAGCGGAAGAGCAAGGCCGTGAACGGGGCGGAGAACGATCCCTTTCTCAAACCCAGCCTACCTCAGCTGTGAGTGTGTTCCTCTCATCTGTCTGTTTGCCTCTTTTGGGCTTCTTTGAAGGATGATGACATTCTGGTAAAGGTGTAGACAAAGAGAACGTGGGTAGAACCTTACTGGCACAGTACAAAGCCACGGCAAGGACTACAGCACGGGGTTGGCGAGGGCTCGAGGTATTCTGTAGGGAGACGGGATTGTCCTTGAATGTGGAATTCCTGCAGGTTTTGCTGGTTTGATGGATGGCAATGACTCTCTGCTGGGTTATACATGTACTCGTAACTAAGGGGACTGTGTGCTTTATGGATCTCTGGCCTTATTAACTGGAGAATCTGCAGCTTTGTCTTCAAGCCAACTGCCAACTTGTACTTTGTAGACTTCGCCATTCAGCACAGTATTCTGCAGAATGTAGATGTTTGGCTTTGTGGGATCATGCCACATTAACAAGGTATACCAGAGTCCTGACCATACAAGGAGTCATTCTTTACAACCATTATGTACATTTCTATTGCATCTGGCAGTAGAATTCCTCAGGATCTTGTCACATGTGCTCCTGAGGAACAAGATTGACCAGATGCCGATTGCCTAAGTATTATTTCTGCTCTTCAATGTACCCAAGAGGCCTACAGTATACATTGCTGGTGATATCCATATCCTGGATGTGGTGTCTGCCCTGTGAAATTCCTGTCAATCTGGGAGGACGGCCACAGCCCACAAACTGCCTTCTCACTCGCACTAACCGCAGCGCAGTTCCCCCCCAGGGGCCGTTTCCCCCAGGGGCCGTTTTCCTTTGCACCAGGCAGATGTCATTTTCCTCGCAATGCATTAGCTCGTTGCCCTCCCTGCCTTTGCAGAAGGTCCTGCTGATTCCTCAGCAATCCAGCAAGCCTCATTCAGATCCTCTGAGGTTTGTCACAGGATTGTAATGTCACACCCCAGACAGCCACATTTGACAGAGTGTTTTTGTTTACTAACTGTACATTGTGCTTAAAGAGAGAACTGTTCAAAAAATTCAGGCCATTCATCCATCTTCTGACTATTTGTTCTAGTCAGAATGGTGAAGAAATTTCATTTGAATATTTATTCCTAAATTATGGATTTTTTTTTTTTGGTTCAAAGGTTAACTTTGGCTGAGTATCATGAACAAGAGGAGATCTTCAAACTTCGACTCGGCCATCTCAAGAAGGTCTGAAACCCCACACCTAAAATTTTATGTTGTTGTTCTATGTTTTTTTTTTCTTCTTTTGCCTGCTGCGCTTTTTCTGTGTGTCTATCTGTGTCTGTGTGTAGTCCAGGTATACATTACATTGTGGGGACATTTGGTCCCCGCAATGTAATGAAAACCCCTTATTTTGATGCGGTGGGGACCATTTTTTCAATCACCACAAGGGGAAATTCAGTGTGACTGCAATTATGCCAATTAAAAATGCAAAGTCATGTATTTTATTTGGTTACTGTTACTGTTAATGTTAAATTAAATGTTAAGGTTAGGGCTGGGTAGGTTGTCATTGTTGGGGTTAGGGTTTTTCTCATATTAATGAATGGACGGTCCCCACAAAGATGTGAGTACAGGTGTGTGTCTCCCTCTCCCTCTCCCTCTCTCTCTCTCCCTCCCTCTCCCTCTCCCTCCCTCCCCCCCCGGGTCCCCAGAGCAGAACTGTAGCCGCCCCCTCAGGCCGCTTTTGCTGCCATTAGCTGCCATGATGCCCTCTTCCTGCCACATCAGATCACCACGGTCACCCATAAATGTTAAATTTGGGTCGAGTGGGTCCAATGTGACGCGTGGCCCCCCACGCTCTGCCTGAAGCCGCCTACATCGTTCATTTGCAGGAAGAGGCTGAGATCCAGACGGAACTGGAGCGGCTGGAGAGGGTCCGCAACCTGCACATCCGGGAGCTGAAGAGAATAAACAACGAGGACAGCTCACAGTGAGTCCGTGCCGGAGGCCTGCCATGGGCACACGCGTTTCACTGTCCTCGTGTTTCAAGTGTGTGTCACGTATGCATGGATGATATATACTCATACTCACAAACACACACTCGTGCCAGTTTGTTCCATACACCTGGTCAATAATGCCAACTGCCTGCTCCTACAAACAGCGAATCATGCAGCATGCAGACGGATCAAGGGGTTTCGTTTGGCTCGGCATCAGAACAGCTAGGATGCCTCGTATAAGTGATTTTCAGCATGATATGATTGTGGGAGCCAGGAGTCCTGACTCTGGCATCTCAAGTCACCAGTCTCTGGGATTTTCATGCATTACAGTGGCTAGAGTTAGTTGTGTGGCTGTGTAGGTTTAACTAAGGTGGTGACTTATTCTTGTCTTAGTCTTATGTTCTTAGCACTTCTTGTGAACTTGCAATGAACATGACCCTTGTCTCGAGAGAACCGCTCGTGAGATCTGTAATCCCGGCGTGAATCGGAGGAGAGCTAGAGGTTTAAGAGCAGCTCGTTGCTGAGGATTTCAGACCGGAGGTGAACTCAGCTCACTGGCACTTTATCTGTGGCCACATCTTGCCGTCCAAATTGAAATACCTGGCAAAAATCCCTTTAGGTGGGCGATATAACGCTTGCTGTGGGTCTTCCAATGTTTCCTTTAAACAAAAGCTGACAAAGGGCGGGGGAAGGGAGGGGTTGGGTTTGGCATGAACAAAAGGCTTTTCATTTTCGCCTCCGAGGTTCAAAGATCATCCAACCCTGAATGACCGGTACCTTCTGCTGCACCTGCTGGGAAGAGGAGGATTCAGTGAAGTTTATAAAGTAGGTCCATGTCAGTCAAAAACCAGCCAATTAACAATGATTATCATGACTCTCTTACAAACCCAAGTCCTTTTTTTGTTTTCTCCCCCTTTCAGGCCTTTGACTTATTTGAACAACGTTATGCTGCTGTGAAAATCCATCAGCTCAATAAGAACTGGAGGGATGAGAAGAAAGAGAATTACCACAAGTAGGATGCGCTGCTTAACCTACGCTGTCACTTTTAGCCTGTAACTACATCTGTGGCTATAACATAGTGCCCTTGCCACAGGTATGCAAGCGTGCGCAAACGGCAAAAAAGCTGCATTTAATTCCCCCCCGAAATGCTATTGTTGTCCTCTAAAGTACTAAACATCTCTGCACTCCTTGATTAATGAACGGCTAAAACAATGCTGGCAGAGACTCCTGACCATTATAAATGGACTGCAGCAATGTTTTGACTCTTCCTGTCCAGAGTAGTTTCCTTTGTTTACCTCTGCTGTGGTCATCCTGTTGCAGGCATGCCTGTCGGGAATACAGAATACACAAGCAGCTCGACCACCCGAGGATAGTAAAACTGTACGATTACTTCTCCTTGGACACGGATACGTAAGTGACCCCTCCCACCACTGCCCGACCTTCACCCCTCTGTCTGTCCTTGGCTGCCGTGAAGGATTCCCATTGGCTGTGCCAGGCTTACTTATGTGGAGGGGGCGGAGCATCGCGGGGGCTGATACACATGCTGCCTGGGAGGTTGCCGTTGCCAGCGCCTGACCAATTTGCTTTCCGCTGCAGGTTTTGTACCGTGTTGGAGTTCTGCGAGGGCAATGACCTGGACTTCTACTTGAAGCAGCACAAGCTGATGTCGGAGAAGGAGGCGCGATCCATCATCATGCAGATCGTGAACGCCCTGCGCTACCTGAACGAGATCAAGCCTCCCATCATCCACTATGACCTCAAGCCAGGTCGGTTCCCATAGCGCAGCGTCCGCCAATACGCCAGGGTGCTTCCGTTTCGTTCCGTCTCATAGCACTCCGGCCTGTGAGTTCAGTTCCCGCGCCTGGCTCTGTGTGCGTGGCATTCTCATGTTCACACCAGCTTTGTGTGGCTTTCCTCCTAGACATCAAAAATGTGTGTGGGCATGTGCAAGACATTTCATGTGTATGATTGTATGGAAAAAATGACAAGTTTTATTGTCATTCTACAAAACACAGGTAGCGAGAACAAAATTGTCATTTCCCTAGAGACCTGGTACAACATGAAACGTACCGAGTTTAACCATAAATGATGAAAACAAAAGAAGAAATAAAATGTACATATATGATGTCTGTGTTTATTCTGGAAATTATTACATTGCGGGGACCAGATTTCCCCACAAAGTGATAAAAACCTGTAACTTTTTAACCTTGTGGGGACATTTTTCTGGTTGCCACAAGGGGAAATTCAATTTCATAAAAATCTAACTGCAATCAAAAAACTGCTGAAAGTCATGTATTTTAATCCTCTTAAGAAAATTAAGAAATTAACCCTCTGGGGTCTAGGGGTAGGAAACACACTTTCACAGACTGGGGCATGATCACACATTTCTTCAAATATCATAAACTAAATTCATGGCAAATTAATTATTTATTTTATATCTGTTTTGCCATTACACTCATCTTTATTTTAATGTATGTAATATATTTTAGTGTATGTAATGTTTAATGTCAGATTTTTGTTAGGTTTGTAATTTGACATCAAAGTATAGACTTTACAGTTTGGAACACTTGCAGAAACATTATAAAAGTACATAGTAAGCAATGCCGGCAGTTTGTTTTGATCCCAGATATCTGATCAAATATCTGTCTTGATATTTGTCTTGGCTACATGAAGATGACTAAATGGTGTAGTTGCGACATTCAGCTGGATAAATAAGAAAACCCGAACTCATGCCACTATTTCTGGCTCCTTTCATTGAATATGCAGAAACTTTCATGTGTATGAATGAGCCATTGTCACCTGGCCACGTCCCCAACCCCCTTTTATGGCGCTGAAGGGGATGTATCTGGATCGCGTTTCACCGTTGCGCTGTTATTAAATTACCATGTGAATGCGATTTGAATACGCGCTAATGTGGCTATTTAGAATGTGAATAGCGATCTTCGGGTGAGAGCGGTACTACACGCCCCCGATGCAGGTAAAACAAAGTAAGATGACATGGTTTACTTTTTTGCCGATTTAACCTAATTTTCAACACTTTAATACTTCCGACAATAGACGTTTTGAAAAGAAGACAGATTACGGATTTAGCCAGCGTTTTTTTTCCCCATGATTCTACATTAAGATTTTGATATAAACTGAAATAGATGCGAAAAGTATGCTGCATCGTCGACGATGCACTCGACCCCAGAGGGTTAAAGGGGAGTCCCTGCACAGATATAAATGTGTGTGTGTGTGTGTGTGTGTGTGTGCGCTCCATCCATGGTGTCCCTTTGCGTGTGCTGCTCCCAGAGGCTGCTGGCTGATTGCTATCCTGCCTTGGGTAGCTGCTTATAGACAATGGATGTATAACGTAGTAATAATTTTGATTTTCTCAAGCCTGCACATACAAGCTTAAATTATTTTCCTTGTGGAGTATTTAGTGTTTCCTTTAATGCACACGACAGCCCATGTTGAAAAGTTTCACAGCAGCTGCATCTCTCTGTGCTGTGCTGCCAGAAAGTGTCAAAGCTTCTCTCTGAATCGATGCTGTCCTCTCTGTGAAGGGAACATCCTGCTTGTGGATGGCACAGCCTGTGGGGAAATCAAGATCACGGACTTCGGCCTGTCCAAAATCATGGATGACGACAACTACGGAGTGGATGGGATGGACCTGACATCGCAAGGAGCAGGAACATACTGGTATGAGCTGGAGAAACTGGTGGAGCGTCGCTTCAGGGCTGTTTATGGATAAGCCTCCTTTGGGTTGGATGCCAACATTTCAATCAGTTAAAGCTGATTTTTGATTGTGAAGAGAAATTGCATAATGGAAGTTCTCCATTTCCCAACTTAATTTTAGTCCTTAAAATATTGCAAGTTCACTGTTTGCTTTTTTAGGTGTTCATCCTAGTCTTTTATTTTAATATCTACTCAATCCTCTGTGACCTTGACCAGGATAAGTCATCATGGATGGATGGATCTGCTCAATCTTGAGTGTTGACACCTGCTAATGTTTGCACTATGCTTGCAGATGCCTGTATGAAGTTCGTTTTATTTTTCAGGTACTTGCCACCTGAATGTTTTGTAGTAGGCAAAGAACCTCCAAAGATCTCTAACAAGGTGGACGTCTGGTCGGTGGGTGTCATCTTTTTCCAGTGTCTCTACGGAAGAAAGGTAAAGTACCTACTATATTGATATTACTATACTATATTGATGCTTACAGTTTGTGTGTTTGGTTTAGCTGACATTTAATTTTTCTTAGCCATTTGGCCACAACCAGTCCCAGCAAGACATCTTGCAGGAGAACACAATACTCAAAGCAACAGAAGTCCAGTTCCCAGTCAAGCCAGTTGCAAGTAATGAAGCTAAGGTGTGTATCTGAGCAGAATTCCACGAATGAACATCTGTGGTGAAACATTTCCTCGTTTAAATATGTAGTCTAGTGATTACTGTTACACTGGCTCCCTCTAGTGAAGTGTGTTCACTGCCTAAAACATAGCTGTCCCTGTATCTGCCTGAACCCTAAAACATAGCTGTCCCTGTATCTGCCTGAACCCTAAAGGCCTCTTTCTGGCTCCTGTAGCTCAGTATTGATTTACAAAGTATTTATTAGCTTTGCAGCTGAATATATTATAGGTTGTTAAATACTGGTCTTCCTTTTCTGTCCCTCCCATCCAGGCCTTTATAAGACGGTGCTTGGCTTACCGGAAGGAGGACCGCTTTGACGTGCACCAGCTGGGCTCTGACTCCTACCTGCTTCCTCACATGAGGAGGTCCAACTCCTCAGGGAACCTGCAGATGGGCACAGCCTCTGGCCCCGCCCCCTCCAGCATCATCTCCTACTAAGCGGGTGGCACTGACTGAGCGAGTGAGCACCCCGCTGAGCTGCGTGTGGCTTCCCCCTCCCTCCCCCCCCCCCCCCCCCCATGGGTTTGAGCACCCTCTGGTCAGCTGCGGGGCAAGGACGAGTCCGAGCACTTTCAGAGTCACTGTGGAACCAGGCTGTCTACTTGTGCTGTACTGGTTTTAGATGTGGGTGTTTACTGAGAGAAAAGAGAAATGTTTTTAAATTAAAATGAATAATAATAAAGGCTTTTCAAAGTGAGGACTTCTGGGAGGTTGTGCAAAGCAGAGCACCGAGACAGTAGGTGGGAATGTAGCTCCTACAGTTTGAGTTGTTTTGCCAGTAGTGTGACTTGGCTTTCTGCCGAGAGACATGGGCTCTCCGCTCTTTAGGGTCAATTCATTCTGTTCTCTGCCTGGGTGTGAGTGATGTTAACATCAGAAGCCCACGTTAACAGTTTTTCAGCTTTTGGGGATGATTTTTTTTTCTCAACTGTCCATAATTAGTCTCTTAATTTTCAGAAAAGGACTTAGATTTTCAGCACATGAGCGTATGTTTGTAGCACCTAGGGGTGCTTCAGCCCAGGCAGAAATAATACTGTGGAATGCACAAAGTAACCAAATGTAGACAAATGGCAATGTATAAAATCCTATGCAGGAAAATTTTTAAAGATCCCTTTTAGGAAATAAATGTATATTTGCTGTACAGGAGTCAAATTTTAGTTGTTCATAATTTTTAGAACTTAAATTCTGTTATAAATCCCATTTCCTTTAGTTTTCCTGTGGTTGACGATGCTACTTTTTGGAGAAGCTGTAAGTTCCTGCTGATCTTGTCAGAAGGGTAGTGAAGAAGGCCTCTGGAGGCTCGTCTTCATTATAAAGCAGCCGTATATATACATATATATATTTTAAAATTTTATTTACCCTGACCCCCCTTTTTGTCCTAGTTCCTGCTGCCTAAGTGGCCATAAGTTATCAGTGAGGTCCAGTGCTAAGGAAGGGTTCGGGGAGGGGGGAGGGGAGGGGGTGTTTTGCTCATCCGCCATTGTGATAGTTTTCGCCTGCTGTGTCCATAATTTCAGGAAGACCACCCAGGCCAGTATACCTCAAGAAGCTGTTAGGGTGTGCACACGCTGCTCATTGTCCTGCTCAAGGCCACATTTGTGAACACTTGACTGAATGCTTATTATTACTGCTGGAAGACCCGCCCCGGCTCGCTCCCTGTCCAGGAGCACCAGCATCCGGTTCACCTCGCCGTGCGGAATACCTTTCCAGAATAAGTGGTGCTGCTGAAACTGTAGAGAATGTAGCCAGAGGAATAATTAACATTGAAGATGAACCAAACCTTTCTCTTTCTCTCTCTCTCTCTATATGTATGTATGTATTATGTAGACACACACACACACACACATGAGAGAGAGAGAGAGAGAGAGAGAGAGAGAGAGAAAAAATGAGATTTGGTTTGTGTTTTATGTTTATAGCCTAATTTTTCAGCGCAGCAAATGGGGTTCGGGGGGTTGCCACTTTCAGTTGGATACATTGTTGGAATATTTGCACTGAGTTCCACAATTTCTTTTGGCTTGTTAAAGAAAATGTAACTAATGGATTAATTCTGATTCCAGTTTTATTTGACGGATAAAGTCTGAAGTAGCTTTGTGTCTCTTGCGATTTTGTTTTAATGGGACTCGACAGGGGACACCTGCAAAACCCCCCTTTTGAAAAATAACCGAGAGGTTAACACTGAAACTACTGTCAGATCCATTTGAATAAAAGCGGTCTAAATGGGGTAAGTATGTTTCATCATGTGCACTGGGTCATTCGTATTTGAATAAAATATTGTCTTGATATACAGGGGTTGGACAATGAAACTGAAAACTTCGTCTTAGACCACAATAATTTACTAGTATGGTCTTGGGCCTCCTTCTGCGGCCAATACAGCATCATATCATCTTGGGAATGACAGATACGGGTCCCACACAGTGGCCAGAGGGATGTTCAGCCATTCCTCTTCCAGAACAGTGGCCAAGTCAATGTGTGATGCTGGTGGAAGAAAATGCTTCCTGAAAAAAAACACCAGTAATATTCAGATCTATTGACTGTGCAGGGCACGGGAGATGTTCTTCACTTTCATCTTCCTCAAACCACTCTGTCACCAGTGTTGCTCTGTGAAACTGTTGCAGTGTGTAATCATTCTGATACATGGCACCACATTGAGGGTACAATGTTTGAGCAATTGAGTGAACATGGTCCTCCAGAATGGTTCAGTAGTCCTTGGTAGTGACTCGCTCATCACAAGTGGCAGAAGTAGTAAGCCTAGGGAATGCCATGATATTGCAGCCCAAAGCATCACTGATCCACCCCTGGGCTGGACTCTGGGTACGCGACAGTCTGGGTGATGAGCCTCTTTGGGTCTTCTCTACACCGTGACTCCCGGATATGGGAAAGACAGTGAAGGTGGACTCAGAGAACAATGCGTTTCATATTGTATACAGCCCAAGATTCGCTCTGCTGGCAGTATTGAAACAGACGTTAGCCATTGGCATGAGTGACCAAAGATTTGGCTATAGCTGCTCATGAATATTAACCCTATGGAGTTCCTGACAAACAGTTTTGGGCACTTGTGGTTTTATGTTCTTTGGATACAATCCCGGTTAGTACCCTTTCAGACAGCTTCCTCTTGCGTCCGGTAACTCCTGTTGGATGTGGTTCATCTGTCATGGTGGTATACAGGCATTACCCTGGATACTGTGGCTCTCGATACACCATAAAAACACTCTGTCCTGATCACAGATGCACCAGCAAGATGCTGCACTAACAATTTGTCCTCTTTTGAACTCGGTCTCTCATCATGTTGTGTAGATTGTATTTTATATACAGCCTTGCTATTGCTCTGCTTATTCAAACTTCACACTCTGCTCTTACTGATGGAATGTGCAGGGAAGATTGAAGTCTATATATGCACAGCCTGGTGAACAAACCTCAAACACTATATTGGTCAGTGTTTTCGTCCAACCCCTATAGCCACGAAAGCAGATTGCTCTTCAAATTCAAGTCCCCCAACACCAAATTTTCAACTTGATCTTACTAGGTACTATTGAGTCTATGCATACATAGCTATCTGGACGCTATGGAAGCCATATATATTTAGTGTGTGAACTGTGATCTACGTCCAATGAATGCTGAACATCTAAAAAGGAAAAATTTAAACATACAACCACAAGCTTCATTTCCAGAACTTTAAAGAAAAGGTTGCTTCTGTCACAGTAAATTCTCAAAAGAATTTTTAAAAGTGGGAGTAAGTTATTAGGCCTCAATAGCTTTAGAGCAGGGTTCTGGGGGGGCAGAATTGGGGAACCCTGCTCTAAAGTTACTTCACTACAATCTCCCATATTAAGAAGGTAAATATTTCGGTTGAAATATGCCTCATTTTTACATTGTGATCATACAGTACTATTCTTATGTGGACTGTTCACCTGAACCTCCAACACAGTTTGCAGATTCCCTGTTCAAACACACCTACTAAACCTGGTCATTAGCTGAGTTTGGTGTGTTTGAGCAGGGGAATCTGCAAACGGTGTTGGATTCTGGTTCTCCAGTACTGGAATTGGGGAAACCTGCTTTAGAGTTTTAAGCAGTATGCGGTGTGGCTCTCTGGCTGAGGCCTCAGTGCCTATAATCGAAAGGTGGTTGGTTTGAATCCCATGGCTAGCAGAGCGATGTCACCACTGGGCCCTTGAGCGAGGCCCTTAACCCCTGAATGATCCAAGTACTGGCTGAACCTGCCTTGTTGAATATATGGCTTTTTGGATACTGAATAAATGGGAGTGTAAGAAAAGGGACCATGGAACAGGTAGCTGGTTTTACCCTCTAAATGTACACAAAAGCCAAACATTGGTTTGTTTATTCTTCTTTCGGAAATATAGACCAAAATGTGAAAATGCATCAAAACATTTTCCAAAAAATAAATTAAAATCACTATAAGTACCGCTGGCTTTTTAAAAGCCATGAGTCAGCACATCACCTTTTAAAGGTGTGTGGCACAATAAGTCCCCTCCAGACCAGGTTGTCCAGATACTCTTGCTCCGCCCCCAGCTGCTATGAGCTCCCGGATTTCTTGGCACTTCTGGCGCGGCTGTTGGCCGCACAGTGGACCTGGGCCGCCACGTCCATCTGGTTTGCTGTCCGCCTCAGCCTGCTCTTGGATTTTCTTGCGGACGACCCCACTCCATCTGAATCACTGGAATCCATTCTCTCTGTGGGTCGAGACTGGGAAACCTGGGGGCTCCGTGGCTTTGAAAGCTGCCAATGGAAAGATGAAATTTAAATAGATGCCTTTGCCATTTCAATACACCAATAAACAATTCCGTTTTATTTTAGCGGTGTGATTTATTATTGACTTCTGCACTGCAGTGTCAGGATCAGTAAGTCATGTTACCATGTCTGTGGGTTCAAAGGCACCAGAGTTCCAATTAAGTTTATATTGCCCTGATATTCACACTCGTGGGAATTTTACTTACACAAGTACACAAAAATGTTCTGGAGGCAAAATGAAAAATGATTAGTTAAGAGAGATAAGCAGTTCAATTGTAGCAGAGGTGGGTCCCACAAATAAGATGTTTTGGTCCTGCCTCCTCTACAATCTTATTGGTTCAAAGAGGTAACTAATCAAACATATGCAACACGACAGAACACTGGGTGATGTATTGTGCCCTACAAAAAGAATCGGCTTCAAGCGTTCATTTTACTCAGTACTTGCTGTACCTCAGACAGTACCCACAGTTGTGAATAGACAATGAGGTGGACAGTCTACATAAGGACAGTACTATATGATCACAATGTAAAAATGAGGCCTGTTTCAATCAGAAAATTTACCTTCTTAATATGGGACATTGTAGTGAAGGTGCCACAATTGGCCTTGCACCTAAAATATCTTGTACCGTTGAACATTCCATCATTTTCTCCACCTAATTACAAAAGTAATATTAGCTACAATTGAACCATCATTCTGGTTTCATTAAGTAGGAACATCTGGCAGTTGAATGAATGAGTAGATTCTTACACGCTGTGTCTAACTCCAAACCAATGAACACCTCATTGTTACTCATGTTCTCCAAATGTCCAATGAAGCGGACTGTCCCCTTCTGCTTTGTGTCCAGCACCACGCGGTCGTTGAGCTTCAAACGATGTTTCGTCCTTGTGTGACACTGACGTCTATAAATCAGGACAGGTTACAGTTAGCTGTAGGAGTAGAACAACCTTCAAATCTACAAGAGGCAGGCAGGCTGTTGATCACAATGGAAGGCTGCTTAACACAGCCAGTGACTGACTGCACTACACCCCACTTTGTGTTTTATAGCCGCATTAAAATACACCATTGATGCACAACTTGGCCCTCAATAGCAAGATTCCTGCTTATTTGAAAGGCATTCTGAACAATCCTCCAATGACACCTGAGACAGCAGGAGCAGTAAATGATCATCTAAATCACTGCTTCTGTATAACAGCAGGAAGAGCTCAGGTTATGAGCAAAACGAAACAACAAAGGCAGTTAGACCTTAAGGTCCTGGGGTTGGCAACCATGAAATATATTGTCCCAGTGCTGGCAGATATGGTACAGAAAAGAGTTATTGGGCTTTTCCACTGGCATACAGGAATCAGGCCGTATCCGGCCTATACCACAAAGAGACACGAGTTACACCATTTTTCCAGCTCACTTCGATTTTCCACTGCAGATTGGTCGGCTTGGTACACGTGTTGCCGAGTTTGAAGAGTGACAGTGACGTGACCCTAAAGAGACGCTTATATATCGTTCACACGGCGTACATCATGATTTATTATGTGCTAATTTCTGCTAGCACGTTTGTCAGAATCTCCGGGTTATCTTAGCAACCAACACTAGTGGAATTAGCATTTCGAAACCATTCCTGTTCTATTGTACTTTATTAAGGAGGAGGTTGAAACTTTTCAAGTTCCAAGTTAAAGGGAATGCATCAATATATATCACGATGTGTGATACTACTAATAATGAATAATATATAGAATATGCCCTTTTGTCCTTCAGATAATTCATGCATATTGATGCACATCACTTATATCGCCGTGCATTTTGACCAATCGGATGGGGGTGATACAGCCAGCTCGAATTAGCCCCGCTTTTGTTCAGTATGCAGTATTTATTCAGCGCAGTATGGCTTAGCTCTTGGCAGCAGTGGAAAAGTGCCATTGATGTACATGCTGTACAGAACCTGCTCACTGCTGTGTCTGTCCCATGGCATATGGAGGAGTCAGGCGCTGTCGGAGGACACCTCTGCTTCAGGCCAAGGTCGGCCAACTCCTTCACAAGTCTTGAATCTTCCTTTTGAACGCTGCATGTGGTTTTCTCCTTTTCCATGTCATTATACGGAAAAGAACAGTACAGTAAATGTAATGGGTAGAGCATCAAAACCCAGAGTCATGTTACAGATGCAAGAGAAACTCTCTGAATAACTTGATTCATGGAGTCACCTACCTTGTGTTTCTTGTGCAATGTATCTTCACCCAGGGGTAATTCTTCTTGGGGGTTCTTTTCAAACTCCCTCACTAGCAGTGAATGAAAAAAATGTCTAAGTGTAGTATAGTGTAGCACACAGCCTGAGCCTCAGGGCCGATATTCAATGTTCATTTTTGCCAAACTCAGCCCTGTCCTTATTAACAAAATCAAAGCTACCTTCATTGCTCTGTGCTTTCACTTCTGTGCTGCGGAGCAGAGGGGAGCTGGGATGAAGGCGTCTCCTGGGGATTCTGGCACACAGGTCCGTGAGGGGGACCTGCAGTACTGCAGACTCCTGCTCATTCCGCTGCACGAGCGGGAATACTGCAGCCTGCAGAGGCATAGCCAAACCATGGGGCGAAATGGGCTTCTCATGGGCACAGAAATAAAAAAGGATCAAGTCATAAATATAAGCTTACGAGGAACTCAACAAGCACAACCTTATCCATCTAACCATCCATGATATTGAGCTCAGAAGCAATGTATGCAGCAAAAGACAACACTTTTGATGGGAAACCAGTCCATTGCCACAAGTGTGGACAGACACACACACACACACAAATGTCTCTTCCTCCTTTAATGGTTACTGTTTTTTTTCCCTCCTGTAAAGCAACCTTAAGACTGTGAAAGGTGCTATATTAATATAACATTTTTATTATTACTACTATTGTATTCATGTCTCTGTGATAACTGTCAATTAATTTCTATTGTCAAAACTCTAAACCCAACTATGACGACCTTAAGCCCTACCCAGTGCATAAGTAACCAAACAAATACAAACCTATTGGCTATTTTATTTTTTTAATTGCAGTCACAGATATTTATAAAATTAGTTCTCCTTTGTGGGGACCAGAAAAATATCGCCACAAGGTCATTTGGTCCCCACAATGTAATACATATATGCCCACTCAAACACACAGATTCTTAGTCTCTAATTCACCAAAATGACACATCTTTGGAGTGGGAGGCAGAACCAGCACTGGGAGACACAAACCACACAGTTGTGCATCTACAGCCTGTGCAGTCCCTGTGCCACTAACCACTTAGAATATAAGACAATAGATTAATACAGCGACTTTCAACTGCCACTGAATCTACTTCAGTAGAAAAGTAACCCACCGCTTTTACGTGATCTGTTAGGACCTCGTGGTGGGGGACTGTCAGAGGGGGTAGGCCGCTCAGCAGGACACTGGGGGAGAGGCTGCCCCTCCCTGAGCTGCATGAGGAGGAGAAGCCAGCGTCCTGCGAGGAGCAAATACACATGATTAACCCATGATCTAACCATGACACACGCACTGTATATTAAGCCTTCAAGCTTCTCCTAGCAAAAAGAAAACTCATTAAACTTAATTATGCCCAATATCATGAGTCACTTAATGGAATAAATGCATTTTGTCCAGTGCAGTTCAAAGCTGAAAATATCCCAGTCAAACCCAAGGCCAAATATGTAAGGAACGGTACATTCATAACTGCAAGGTGCATCAGTACATTACTGTTACTTTATACTCTACAGCATTAGTCGCAAATGCCTCAACCGTGAGCCAATAGCAGCTGGTAGAGACAGTAAGTGAGTAGTGTCTGGCTGCAGGAGCCCCTCTCAGGGCCCTTCAAGTTCACACATGCACAGAACAATTTGCCACTTTCAAGCCTCACCACTCTCAGGACCCCGCATACAGAACAGAGAGTAAAAGAACAGAAAAATAATCAACATGTAACGATATTGCTTCAGTACTTCAGTACTACTATCCTGGTGTAAATGTGTTTCATGTATCCAGAATGAATAACACAATAGATAATGTGATGTTTCAAAAACATTTTACCATTGAGAATTTTATAACTAAATTAATATCCAGAATGCTTCAGATTTTCACAGTGATGAATAAAATATCGTAAAATATCTGGGAATGACTTTGAAACATAATTGTAGATAACTGTTGTTAAATAAAAATGCTATTTCTGCTTTTGTTAAGTACATTTTTATGCATAAACAGTAAAACTTTAAAACAAGATTAAAATGAATATATTAAACATTTAAATTTAGAATTGATTGACAATCATGAAACAAACATCATTCACAAATATAGGGTGGGCCAGAAGTACGTGTACAGTTTTTATTTTACAGAATTGACTGTTTCATGTTTAGTATCTTAGGTGTTTAAAATGTCCTCCATCAAAGTTGATACATTCCTGGAGTCTGTCCCTGACACATAGAAACCTTCTCCTTTACTATGCCGCCAAAAATAAAGTCCATGGGTGTAAGATCTCGAAAATTCATTACAGCAATTGTTTTCCTTTAATATCACTATGTCATTAACTACGATGTAGTTCAAATTACCACTAAAGTAAAGGTGGTTTTACACTGTGCAAAGTTCTGATGGCATAAGACGGCAGCTGAAGAGGGAACGCCAGAGCAGGCAAAGCCACCGTGTTGTCCATTCATGTTTATTAAAGTACAATTAGTATGCAAAGCTTTATAATATCTTTTGTCGTTGTAGCTGCTAAAGATACTCATTATTAATGTCATAAAGTTGTCTGCCTGCTACCTTAGAATCTCCACAGAGTATGTGTTTAGGCTAAAATCTTGGGCTTATATTACATCATATTAACCCTCACCCAGACCCCTAAAACCTAACCCCCAAACAGTGGAAGTGCACGTGCACAAAAAGGCTCAATAGTACGTCTCGATAGGTAGCTCAACTCGTAAGAACACCGGCGTCCATTAACTAAAACGGTAAATTTGATTTTCTGGGGGGAAATTAATTCTTTAGATTAATCAACCAATCATGCATACCAGCTGCTGATCTGGCATTTCCAGTAAGTGGCAGTGCCGACGTTCACAGATGAGCAGTCAACAAGTAGAGGAGAGGAAGAGTAGAGTAGAGGAAGAATAGCTGTTTTTGTTGTCTAGACGTTATACCGAGGTATACAACATTTTAAAAAGCAACATTATTCCGGCATATACTGGCAATTAAATCTGCCAAGCAGGGTCACAGCTAATTTCATCATAAGGATTTAAAAATACCGTGGTATACCTTATTACTGTAACACTGCCCAAGCCTTCACTAATAACTTTAAGTTTTAAGTTTAAGTTTACCCGTTTCACTACACTGCTTGTATTTGGGTTTGTTGCAATACATCTGCCCTTTCCTGGTCTGGTGGAATATTACTGTTGTATCCATGCACTGACCACAACCATCTGCATCTGCAGCCAAATGTAGTATGAACTTAATCTGATACACAGAAGACCATCTGCGTGCAAAAGTGCACGAGGAAAAGTGAAATATGACCTAGGCTTAAGGCATAGTACAGTATTTTGAAATAATTGTGATCATACTTGTGGTCTTGGCAAGACTGGTCTTGCTAACTTGCCTTCCAAGAATGATCTTAGGGCACAAAGAATCACGGGACTGGTCTCATTTTGTGAGGGTGTGACCGATGTATTCTTGATATTTGGGGGCAAGAACAACATCCGGGGATTTTTATCGTCCTCTGTAGTTCTGTTCTTGAGTATTAGAACTCATCTTCAAAAATGGAAGATGACGTAAAACAGGTACATGACAACACGAATAGTCAAGTACGCATATTGAGAACCACCCCATGCTTAAACTGAGCTGGTTGCATCATTGCCATCTGATTGTTCAAAATACACAAGGGCAAGAAAGAACCAGTGATCTTTGTCCATATGCACAGATTATGTAAATGGCAAGGGGACATATTCTATATATTTTTAATTATTAGTAGTACAGCACATTGTGATGTATTTATGTGTTCCGGATAACTCGGATCTTGTGAATATCCAACCTACTTAAAAAAGTACTATATAATGGCTGAATGGAATGGATTCATAATGTAAATTTTCACAAGATAATGCAAATTCCAGTACCATTCAATGCAAATATAACATGGTGTTTCTCACAGATGTGCTAGTGGAGATTAGCACATGATAAGTCATGATTTGCACGATATGAACAGTAAACAAGTGTCTCTTCCATCGCTGTCGCTCTCCAACCTGGCCACGGCTATAACGAGCTAGCCCTTCTGCAGTGGAAAACCAAAGCAAGCTGGAATTGGGCTCTATTCGAGGTACAAATTGGGTATGTAAAAATAGAAAGGCTATTTTGCACACTTGACCATACTTTTGTTCTCGTATACCCATTGTACATCATCTTCCATTGCTGAAGTCAAGTTCCAATACTAATAACACATGTGCAGAGGATGGTAAAAATCCGTGGATGTCGTTCTTGCACCGTGCCAAATATCAAGGATACATTGGACCCTTGCCAAATGAGACCAATCCCATGATTCATTGCATGCCAAGTTGGTTCTTGGGAGGTAAGTTAGCAGGACTGGTATTGCAACGAGAACAAATACAATCTTTGAATTCTTGGTACTGAGAAACACCCAGAATGCATTTTACTGTCAACACTCCCCACGCCCCCCCACGCCCCCAGTCATCAACTTGAGGTGTTTCTCAATACCAAGTACACCAAGATCGTACTTATGGTCTTCGCAAGACTGGTCTTGCTAACTTGCCTTCCAAGAATGAACTTGGGGTGCAATGAATCACGAGACTGGTCTTGTTTGGCGAGAATGCAAGCGATGAATGATATTTGGGGCAAAGCAAGAATGACATCCGTGGATTTTTACCATCTTCTGTACTTCTGAGGTGAATCTCAATATGTGTAGTTGACCATACTTGTGTTCTCATGTACCTGTTTTACGTCATGTTCCATTGCCGAAGACCAGTTCCAATACTAAGAACACAAGTACACAAGGACGGTAAAAATCCCTGGATGCTAATCTTGCTCCACCCCAAATACCAAGGACACATCATCTGCATCATCGTCAAAGGAGACTAATCCCATGATTCATTGCATCCCAGGTTCATTCTTGGAAGGCAATTTAGCAAGACCAGTCTTACCAAGACCACAAGTACGGTCTTTGCATTATTGATGTTGAGATTCACCAATCTTCTTGGGTACTGGACCTTGTCTTCGGCAATGGAAGATGTAAAATGGGTAGACAAGAATAGTCAAGTACGCATGTTAAAAAACAGGCTTTTACTCCAACAAGACTCTTCTCTTATCTATACCCCCCCCCCCACCCACCCACCCAACCCAGAGAAGTCACTCTCACTGCATATAAGGATGGAGACCACTTTGTACGTTGCACTGTAAATGGCAGCCCACCTGCATGACTGATAGGGAGGGGGTGGAGCAGGAGGAGGTGCTGGCCTGTGCACTGATGGACCGAGCTGCTGAAGGCATGTTCCTGAGGAGCCGGATTTGGGCCTGTTGTGCCTCAACGATTCTCTGTAAACTGAGAGGAGGAAAGGAATTGTAAGAACCTCGGAGTCCTCCTTAATTTCGTAGCTAATTCTTATAAGAAAAATGTATAGTGATTTATTAACAGGTGTTAAGCAAAAGATCTTACCAAAAAAGGCAAAGATCAAAAGGTCGAATGTATATCTTCATTATTAGCCTAAACTCCACAGCTTCAATAAACCGAAAGTATTTCCAAGCTCCGTGTACATGTATAATACACAAATAATACTGCTGTGTTTAACCTACATAAATAAAAATTTCTTAGAAGAAACAGTTTGCAATTGCTTTTGGAAAGAGTTTAACTCTTTAGTCCCCCCTGGCGTAAAATATTTACGCCGTAGTGCAATATAAAAATGCATGCAATAAACTGGTTAAATGTAAGCGAACATCGCCAAGACAAAGGTCAAAATACCAAAAGGCCGGCTTTTTCAAGTTACTCATAAACAGACTAATACTCGTGCATATATGGCAACGAAATCCTGGAAAGCAGATAAATAACAAACCCGTTACAAATTTAATTACCCCTTTAACTTGTTGAACGCCCGTACATAGCAGGTTAACGCACATTCCACTCGCTATTTAACGTCTGTTTTACTTATAAAGTTAATAGTTCGCATTGACTGAGGAATCATAAATCCACTCAATTTCAAGTCACATGGGTAGGTTAGATACGTAGGTTAAAAAACATTACAAAAATGGTCTTACTACTACAGTACTGTATGAACTTCTGTGTTCTACAATATAAAACCTGAGATTATCAATTAAGTAATCAAATAAGAAATCGGATTATTTTAAGAGGCATTTGAACGATTACAACTCACACAAAGAACTTCTAATTCGACGCGTAGCGGTGTATCCTTACCTGTATATAATAATAATAATAATAATAATAATAATAATAATAATGCATTGTTTTTCTCTATAAGGGCTGCAAGATTTCCCATATAAAAAAGCGAAAGTAAAAAAAACTGGGAGCCAATAATTATTATTTTGTAAAGAGTCTGGTCATCGTCTCCAGCAGGACACCAATTTGCTTTGCAAAAAGGTGAAAAATGAAAGCTTACCGCCGATTTTCTTTTAGTAATTCCGCAACGCTTGAGCACAGATGAACGGCCCCCTTCCGGGCACCGCTGATGACAATCGACACGGCCCTGGAGGCGACCTCTCTGTCCTCCTCTACACAGCCCGGATCGGGACAGCACTCTTAAACACACGCACACAATCCCAAACATTAGACATCAGAGTTTCTACCTTCTTGCGTGTTAATCATTTTATTGAAAGCGAAATGAAAACATTTCGGTAATTGCAACGCCATTAACAATCGAGCCATTAACCGAGACTGATACATAACTTTGCTGATATCATACCTGCTGTGCTGTTACATGAGTCCATATCCGCTACCTGTGATTTATTCTGCTTCCGAGCGGAGGTGGGAAGATTGTTTACGGCCTGGTTTAAGGTGCTTTCCAAATACTTGACCAAACATACCTGCCAGCCATATTTTAAATAGTTCTGCCAGTCTTTCCTGTTTCCACTTCCGAAACTTTAAACCTGCCCCACTAAACTCATTAGCGACCCTGGAAGGTAGTAACGCTCGGGGGGCGGACTCGTTCCCATGGTCCATGCGCCACTGAACAACTGCTTTCGTGTTTTCCGTTCCGCCGAGAATACAGGTTAACGACTTTATTTCTAGGATTATCTGGTCTTCATATAATCGATTCTGAAATTAACTATAGTTTGGTAATTGCTACTACCATTTCCAGCTGATCCTAAAAACAAATTTCGACAAATTATTTCCATCTAATTGTAACTTTCTTGGAAAAAGAATGCAGTCGAATCAAGAACAAGTGCGACATAATCTGGTGCTGTGGTTTTTACCATCGTACATACCTTTCCATCTCTTGCAATAATTTTTTTTATTTCCTCTGATAAATACTACGTGGAAAGATTACATTTGCGTAAAATGACTGAGAATGAACTAAAGTTCACTTTCTAAAGATCGTTTACAGTTGCATACAGATTTCGTCTTCTATACTGTACTAACCAACGTATTATTACGATTATTGTAAAAATCCTTACATTTATTGCAAGAATATATGTGAAGAAGATTCTTTTCCCATGTGGTCAAAGGCGCCATCTCCTGGTTCGTTAGTGATACAACAAGTTTTTTTCTTAACCGTCTCACCTTAACGCAGCACTAATCACATCCCAATTCGTTTTCAACAAATCGCACCCTAGTTACGCATAGGGGCGACGTAATAACCTTTGCTAAAAAGAAAAACGAATAAAACATCTAGGTCCCCTTAGGACAATAAACAAAAAACACATACCTGCATTCATGCTAAAAATCAACAGCTTGGACGGAAACAAGTTTGAAAAAAAAATTGAACAGGATAATTCAGCATAATAAACAAAACCGAACCAACAAGTCATTGTGAGTAGAAGTTCCTCAAATCCACAACTTGTAACAATGCTGGATATCAAATAAAAGGAATAACTGGGCACAAGAGTGGGGTTGGAGTTGGACAGTAATTGGCTGTAAAATCCTGATGTATGTGCACATTACTATCCCATTCTTTGCCTCTTAACGGTTCTCATCCCTATGCAACATGCACGAGGCGCCATATACTCTACAATGATGTGGGTTCGTGCAGACCGTCCCCTGCTCAAATAAATATGGTAGAAACAGCCGGACAAGCATGAGACAGAGTCATTATGAGGACTCCGAGGTAAATAGTGCATCTGATGATATGGTTTCCGTTGTAACCATCTTGGCTGTGACCAAGTCCTGGTTGGTGAGGAGTTTGGGAGGAGACGCTGCGTCAAGGATGAGGGCAGGAGTCTGGCCGGCGGGCGCTACCCCCGTACTCGAGCTGACTGGCAGAGTGAGGTCTGATGGGGGGAGCGTCAAACCGGAAACCAGCTGACGGAGCTGAGCAGGGGGCACAGGGGGAATAGACAGAGGGGGCATGCCGGGTAGGTTCAAGGGGGGCAAAGAGCCAAGTGGGGGCAAACCTGCAGGACAGCGGGGGGGGGGGAAATCAACAAGAGGAGTTTTAAAAACACAAGTGTAAACTAACAAATACTGGGCCTTTATGACAAGCTGTGACACTACCTGACTATTCAAACGGTGTATTACGATAGTTTGGAGGATGAACACCCCAGCTTTAAATATTAATGGACATTAATATCCATTATGATGTTAAGCAATGTGTAAGTATGAAACAGAACTGCTCACACAACGAACCAGCCTTACCCGTGGAAGATGGTGGCAATCTGGAAATTCCATGTAGAGACGGTAAAGACACTCCACTCAGGTCGGGTAAAGTGATATTTGGATTTGGCAAGGGGTTATAGGGAGGAAGGCCTCCTGGTAATGACATTAACCCTGTGAGGGAAAAAAGGGAGATGACACTGTGAAGTCAAACCACACTTTTTATTGACTCATCTTTGCAGGTGCGGACGGCTTGTGTCTAACCAGGTATCGTGTTGGCAGAGCTGACTGCAGGAACTGTGCTCAGTGAGGCGCCGACTTGCGTTGGTAAGAGTGGCACAGTCGGGACACCTGGTACACAAATGTGGGGGAGGGGCGGTTCATAAAACAGGAGTCATTTTAATCAGATTAGAGCTATGGGGAATGCCCCTCCCTCATAAAGACCAGAGAGCCACAACCTGTGTGAAGAGCACTGGGGATGGTGGGCGTGGTGGTGCTGATTGACAGGCGAGACAGGTCCTTCTCCAGCTCCATGGGAGCAGAAGGCACGGCGGGCGGGGGGGTGACGGCAGAGAGCTGCACCTGGGGGGGGGGGGGGGGGAATGCCACCTTTGATTAATGGGAAAGGTGAGAGCCGTTTAACCAGTCAATTAGTCACTTCAATCACGATGTCGTCGCAGGCTGGCGACCTTCCCTGTGCAGATCTGCCCAGATTCATAATGAGGGTTTTGTAGCCGTCCTACATCAAGGGGGAAATGGTGGCCTTTTTTAGAAGGGGTAAAAATAGGAGGTGACGGAGAAGCCAGCATATAGGCAGCAGATGGCACATAAAAAGGTACCCTGTGCCAGCTCGTTACCCTCCCCGCACTACAGATCTGGATAATGCAAATCATGGGTCTGTTATGCCAGACAACAAAAAGACCACATCTTCTGCATGCTCCATTCCTCTCTAGTTTCCACAACAAGTGAATTTTCCATGAGGTCATGACCTTGCCCCCCCATTGCTTTATGTTAACGGCTTTCATAACAGCAGATTCCGCCGCTTTCTCAGGCTGTTTATGAAACACGACGCTGGATTCAGGAAGGTTGCATGTGACGTCACATGGTACTATCCTCACCAAGTAAAGGCTGTCATCCATCATATTGGTGTACAGTTTCCCGTCTGGTGCAATTCTCCATGTGTACTGTATGGGCTCTTTCGCTGTGCATCTCATACATGATTTCTCTAGCCCGGACGCGGGTCACCGGGGCCCCCCCCTGGAGCCAGGCCTGGGGGTGGGGCTCAATGGTGAGTGCCTGGTGGCCAGGCCTGCACCCATGGGGCCTGGTCGGGCACAGCCCGAACAAGGCACATAGGTCCCCCCTCCAATGGGCTCACCACCTGTAGGAGGGGCCATAGGGGTTGGGTGCAGTGTGAGTTGGGCAGTGGCCAAAGGCGGGGACCTTGGCGGTCCGATCCTCGGCTGCAGAAGCTCTAGGGACATGGAATGTCACCTATCTGGTGGGGAAGGAGTCTGAGCTGGTGCGCGAGGCTGTGAGATTCCGACTAGATGTAGTCGGGCTCGCCTCGACGCACGGCTTGGGACCCTCTTCCACTCTGGAGTTGCTCACGGGGAGAGGCGCCGAGCAGGGGTGGGCATACATATTGCCCCCAGGCTGGGCGCCTGTACATTGGGGTTTACCGCAGTGGATGCGAAGGTAGTCTCCCTTCGCCTTCGGGTGGGGGGACGGGTCCTGACTGTTGTTTGCGTTTATGCGCCAAACGGCAGTTCAGAATACCCATCCTTTTTGGGGTCCTTGGAAGGGGTGTTGGAGATCGCTCCTCCCGGGGACTCTCTTGTTCTCCTGGGGGACTTCAATGCTCACGTGGGCAATGACAGTGAGACCTGGAGAGGCGTGATTGGGAGGAACGCCCCCCCCGATCTGAACCCGAGTGGTGTTTTGTTGTTGGATTTCTGTGCTCGTTACGGATTGTCCGTAATGAACACCATGTTCAAGCATAAGGGTGTTCATATGTGCACTTAGCACCAGGACACCCTAGGCCGCAGCTCGAGGATCGACTTTGTGGTCGTGTCATCGGACTTGTGGTCGCATGTATTGGACACTCGGGTGAGGAGAGGGGCGGAGCTGTCAACCGATCACCACCTGATGGTGGGTTGGCTCCGATGGTGGGGGAGGAAGCCGGTCAGACCTGGCAGACCCAAGCGTATAGTGCGTCTGGCGGAATCCCCCGTCAGGAGGAGTTTCAACTCCTACCTCCGGCAGAACTTCGCCCATGTCCCGGGGGAGGCGGGGGACATTGAGTCCGAATGGGCCATGCTGCCCCCGAGACCCAACCTCGGGTAAGCGGAAGTTAATGGATGGATGGATCTCATAGTTGGGTGTGGTGTTTGTTGTTGGCTGCAATGACACCAGTCTACGTGACTAAGGTAAGAGAGATGTTTTATCTAGCGAGGGCCACCAAAAATGGTTACACAGCATCTGAAGAGTGGATCATACTGAAAAGACAGTGGCAGGGTTTGCGGAGATCACTTTTTCAATGATAAGTAAGAGAGAAGTACAACGCGTTGCCACACCCAACACATGACGAACCACCTCAGGGATGTGAACCCAAGTGCAGCGTGTGGCGGGTGATACCTCACACTAGTTCGAGTGGAATGGAACAGTGTGAAATCTTTTCCAGTGGCTGGAGTGCCAATCCTGCCACCAACCCCCAAATGATTCCCTGAAAGCTAGAGGACCTGCTTGCAGGGCTGGCTGTAGGTTAACGTCATACCCAGGACAAAGCAGTTACAGGCCTTGCTCAAGGGCCCAACAGAGTAGAATCACTCCTAACATTAACAGGATTCGAACCACCGACCTTCTAAATGCTAGCACAGATCCTTAGCCTCAGAGCCACCAAAGCCGGTAAGAATAATGCTAAAACAACTAGTGTTTCTATGTGTTCATTTCCACAGATAACTTTACTGCTCTTAATTAGCCAGTGAGCATTGGCTTAGTTTTTGTTAGCATGCCAGCTATGATTTGGTTTATGGTTGTGGGAACTGATTCATTTTTTTTAATTGTAATTTTTATGCCACAGGTTTTATGAAAGGTAAGCCGGTTACATAAAATCGTTGGCTGGTTTTAAAAACACAACATAGAAACATATCCTAAAGGTCATTCTTGTATTTTCCAGTTACACAAACCGGCCAGCATATAAGACAGGCAACACTGACTGGGGGCCAACAGTGAACATGGGACACAGCAGTATGAAAAGTCTGACAGCATCACAGGTAGCAAGAGAGGAACACAAAAAGAAACGTTTCCTCAGATAGCCAAATCAAAGCCATACATTCAGGGATTAGGTTAATCTATCAGCAATTCACAAACACATTCACTTATGTGCAATCAATCTAGATTTGTTGTAATAACAGCAAAAGGCATATCACTGTAATGTTAACAGTACAGAACAGAGCAACGTAATTGCTTGATGTTACCATTACATGATGAAAATAATATAATGATAAACAA